CTGTGGGGGGTGTGCAGGAGGCTGCTGATTGAGGATGTTTCTCTCTCAGTGATGTTTCTATCTCTACTTCTCCCTTCCTCTCTCTCTCAAAAATCAATAAAATATATATATATTTTTAAAAAAAGATCTAGACTTTGGAACATGTGGACGGAAGGGGGCCCCAGGCTAAACCGACCGGCTCTGGGGGGGCCTGTATCCTGCAAACCCAGAGCCCTAGCGTCCCCCCAAAGGACGGTCTGAAATGAACCTTCAACTAAAAGCAGTTTATGGTGGGCGGTCACCTCCTAGGCCGACAAGGTCACTGACAAGGTCAACCTTCACCCTCACAGAGCCTGTCTGTCTTTTTTGCATCTGGGGTCACACACCCTTGAGGTGTCTGGGTGCCTGGTAATGTCGTGTTTTCTGTGGCCCCGGGGGCACCCCCTACTGGGCTGGGCGCCAGGATGGAGACCGCCAATCCCTTTGTTATTATTATGTTCATCGTCCCTGCACCCGCCTAAGCGTCTGTCCATCATTTTCCCTTTTATCCAATCACAGGGGTCTCCCGGCTTTGCTGGCTCCCGCCTCCCTTGTCCACCAACAATGGATTTCATGTATAAATACAGATGTAACTGGCCATCCCCTGGGGCATTCTCTCAATCCATTCAGGTCCTATTTCCCGACAATTGTCGACGGTTTGGCTCCAAATTTTAAAAAGATTCCCAGGTGATTGTAAGGTGCGGCCAAGGTTGAGAACAACTGGCCTAAAACAAGGTGGGTCCTAGCTGGTGTGGCTCAGTGGATAGAACACCAGCCTGCGGCCTGAAGGGTCCAGGGTTCGATTCCCGGTCAAGGGCACAGGCCCGGGTAGCGGGCTGGGTCCCCTGGTGCGGGGTGTGCAGGAGGCAGGCGATCCATGATTCTCTCTCATCATGGATGTCTCTCTCTCTCTCTCTCTCTCTGAAATAAATAAAAATAAATAAAATAAAACGGTGAAAAATCGCCATTCTCTGTAACATTATCTCAATCCGTTGAGCTTCTCCTTCCCGGCAATTGTCAACCACGTGGCTCAAAAAAAAAACTCACAAAAATACTTTACAGGTTTGAATGTTTGTTTTTTTTACGTAAAAAAACCGAAAAGTCGCCCTCTCCAACCAGCTCTACCTGCAGACAAACTGCATTTCCGCTGAATTCAGGCTTTGCCACCGGGTGGCGTCTAATTGGCGGTTCCTTTTGTCCCCAGTTACTTGCGTAAAAACGCACCACGCGGGAAAAGTAGGAACCAGCGCGCGCGGTGCCAAACGCCGGTTTCTGTTTGAATGCAGGCGCCTCCTTCAAACCGTTTTGCAATTGGGACACAGCGCCCTAAAGGGCGGGCCAGGAGGTGGGGCGCTGGCATCCACGGCCCGCCCGCGCCCCCCTTTTCCGGGGCGGAGTCGCCAAACATCCCGGGCAGTTCCGCCTGCGCCATGTTGAAGGCGGGCCCGCGAATGCCGGGAGCAGAGCGATATTTACATATCGAAAGGATGAGAGAGAGAGAGAGAGAGATGAAAAGCACCCCCAAACAGGACCGGGTGGGGGGGAGATGGCACAGTTGTTTCCAATTCACAGTTACCGCGCTAGAGCGCCGAGAGCGCGCAGGCGGCGGTGCGTAAAGGCACTGGAGCGCACGGGGCGGATCCCGGGCGCCCCCCGCGCTGTAACTCGGGGGAGAGACACGGCGCCACGATGACCCTGATCCGCATTCCCGGGGGGCTCTGGGCTGTAAGCTCCAGCTCATCCGGGGGTCCCCATTCCCCGGTTCCGCCAGGGTTGCGGAATGACCCGTTCGGACGCTCACGGGGGACGTGCCCCGGGGGGAACCCGGACTGAGGCGTGGCCAGAGAGCTCGTCGCTGGGCCCAGGAGAGGGGACAGTGGCTGGGGG